GCATTTGGAATCTGTTGCTGTCAACTCTCAAGATGAGATCCAAAGAGCTGTCACTATCAGTGAAGCAAGCCATCATTAGGCTGAAAAAAACAAAACAAACCCATCAGAGAGATAGCAAAAACATTAGGCGTGGCAAAAACAACTGTTTGGAACATTCTTAAAAAGAAGGAACGCACCGGTGAGCTCAGAAAACACCAAAAGACCCGGAAGACCACGGAAAACAACTGTGGTGGATGACCGAAGAATTCTTTCCCTGGTGAAGAAAACACCCTTCACAACAGTTGGCCAGATCAAAACACTCTCCAAGAGGTAGGTGTATGTGTGTCAAAGTCAACAATCAAGAGAAGACTTCACCAGAGTGAATACAGAGGGTTCACCACAAGATGTAAACCATTGGTGGCCTCAAAAACAGTAAGGCCAGATTAGAGTTTGCCAAACGACATCTAAAAAAGCCTTCACAGTTCTGGAACAACATCCTACGGACAGATGAGACCGAGATCAACTTGTACCAGAGTGATGGGAAGAGAAGAGTATGGAGAAGGAAAGGAACTGCTCATGATCCTAAGCATACCACCTCATCAGTGAAGCATGGTGGTGGTAGTGTCATGGCGTGGGCATGTATGGCTGCCATTGGAACTGGTTCTCTTGTATTTATGGATGATGTGACTGCTGACAAAAGCAGCAGGATGAATTCTGAAGTGTTTCGGGCAATATTATCTGCTCATATTCAGCCAAATGCTTCAGAACTCATTGGACGCCGCTTCACAGTGCAGATGGACAATGACCCAAAGCATACTGCAAAAGCAACCAAAGAGTTTTTTTAAGGGAAAGAAGTGGAATGTTATGCAATGGCCAAGTCAAATCACCTGACCTGAAAACCCTATTTTTCTTCCATAAAAAAAAAACGAACGGACGAAAAATGTATGTAAACTGATGAAAAACAGATATGAACTGATCAGTTTTTTTTTTTTGGAAAAAATGTGACTGAACTGATGAACGTCCATGTGAAAGGGGCCTAAATCTAGGTATTGCGAGGGCCTACCATTACAATCCATTTATATCCAGTTGAGGGGGCTTGCACTACATAGCTGCTGGTAAGGGCCATGTCACAGTATCAATATTCCAGTTGCTGGTGACAGCTCACCAGCACCATGAAGAGCCAATACTCACCTGGTTCCACATGCTGCTACCTCGCAGTCGAGATGAGCGAGCTGTTGCTCAATTGCTGATAAACGTTGCAGAAAGTCACTTGCCAGTAACAGGTCATTCATGTAAATAAAGTGGGAGCTACATATGATGGTAGCAGGGAAATATTTACACTGCTTTGTATTTCAATAGGATTACTAGGGTGCCCAAATCTAAAGTTGGTTATAATGGTGTTTCTCAACCTTTTTTCAGTAAAGGCACCCTTTAAAATTCCACACAATCTTGAGGAACTCATTACAAAATGTAAAAAACTAATGGTTTTACCGATTGTAACAACATTTGCACATTTAGGACACCCAATGTTAGAGGTGATTTATTCTTCCAAAGCAAACACACTTTTGCACACTGGTATGGACTAGTATTCCATTGTTTCTCTTCTCCCTCAGTGTTTCTCTCTCTCTCTGCTAATGTGACCCCAGTGCTGATGAGGAGGGGCAGGGGAGGTGGAGGCAAGTAAGGATGCTCTGCAGGAGCCTGATGTCCTTATCAGTTGATAACATCATTGGTATTTATCTCGCCGGCGGCTAGAAAGTTGTAATGATGCACAATGAAAACCTGTGGCTTTGTGTAACTAAAAGGCAGGCTTGATCCACCTGCTAGCGTGTATACAATTTTTAGGCATTTTGCTAAGGCACCCCTGAAGAAACCTGGAGGCACCTTCTTGAAAAAGGCTGGGCTATACACATACACATTACTCCGTTGCTGTTTTTCTAATTATTATTTTTTTTTTTTTAAAGAAAAATCACATTTAGTGTGGCTGTCTAGACTTCTTTTACTTCTCTCCATCAACTGTGAGCTGTGCCAGCACCTGTCAGTTCCATCGCAGAACAGTGTGGCTGACTGATCTGGAACAATGTCTTCTTTGTTCAGAACGTACAGTAAGATGCCATCATATGAGGATTGTGTTTTAACTGAAGAAAATCATATTGTTTGTCATGAGATAGCAATACAGTAAAACAACAGACTGAGGCTGGATAAAAAAAAATAAATATCGATGACCTGTAAATATCTTTAACAGGTATAATTGGATAGACAAAATGGCACAAACATAATTGGAAAGTTAGAAAATGATTTATTAGACTTTACTGTGAATCAATTTTGTGTAATGTATTCAAAATCCCACCTACAGTGTTCATTACAGGCTGTGTACATGTGAAACATAAATTTGCGTATTTATAAAACAAATGAGAAGACTGACAGGACCCTGAGCTTTTTAAATTAATAACAAAAAACTAAGTAACATGAACAAGTACATACATAGTTTAAGGAAATCTGTGCAAAGTCAAATACGTGGGTTGGCATTGCTCTCCTTGATCCATCATGCCGACTGTCAAGAATTAGTATTTAGGAGTGCCAATCCAGAACAAGCACTGCAGTGTGCAAAGTCTTAACTTTAATCTGCACAGAGACACAGAAGATGTGAAACAAGAGGATCAGCATGACAGCCAAGAAAAGGCCAGCAAATGGATGCCTGGAATTTCAGTGATCAGGCTTATTTGTAAGGCCTCATGTATACATGAACTCCCCTAGACGTTTAGCTCTCCTGGCAGCAGAAAAATGTTAAATGGAGCAAAATGCATGTAAATACGGTAGAGGCTACTCACATTTAGTGCTTGGACAATTATTTGATTGTACACATGGGCTTTTACCAGAGTTTAGAGGCAGTTTTTGCCCCCCCAAAAAAACACTAAACTTGGCAAAAAATGTGTGTACTTGCGTCTAAACGCTAGCCGTGTTTAGAGCTTGAACTTTTATTCATTTGATTGGCCAGAGTATTTTCTATAGACATGAATAAAATGGCTGCATGCATTTACATACGGTTAGCGCTTGGATATTTATTCATGTCAATGGAAAATTTTCTGGCTAATCAAATGAACAGCCAAACTCTAATTGCGGCTAACATTTACGCGCCTTTTGCCACGTTTAGCACTTTTTGGCTAAAACGTTCTTCTCAAGCACAATTCTTCTGCCTTCAGGAGAGGAACGTTTAACTTCCTCTAAAAACTCTGGTAAAAGCCTATGTGTACATGGACACAGGCTTTTATTGAGTTGAGTTCAGGAGCTTTGGCAAAAAATGCCAAAAGCTCTTAAACTCACGTTTAGGAGCAGCAGTGTACATGAGGCCTAAAAGTGAAGTGACATTTCTTTATACAGTATATGCTAGATCAACAGTACATGTTCTCCTACACATTTCCCATACTGCAATGGAAACGAGAAAAGGGAAAATGTGATTGACAGTTACAGCTTTGCTTTCTATGAGTATTTTTGTAGGACTCAGTTAGGCTAAAAACACCCTACCTGGCAGTTGAGGATGTGGAGAGATCCATTTTTTCCTACCTGTATATCCTTAGCTTGCATTATTCCTGCTGGCTCTGTCCATGGTGGAGGGGTTTCCTGAGTCATCCCTGTAATACAGCGAGAGACCAGTGGAGGTGCCGGAGTCATCCCTGTAATGCTGTGAGAAGCCAGTGGTGTCTTTCTTGTCTCCATACCATGATTTTCCTGGTTGAAGTTTTCCCTACCTGTGGAAGAGCTGGATATATTTCTATGTGCATTTAATATGCGCTTCTGGCGAGTGCATTCATATAGCATTATCTAGCACAGAGTCCCTTTCACCCGTTCATCACGGAGATTTATTGGACGTTTTGATATTCATCCAAATCATCTTATCCATTTATTTAATATTGGACTGTTCACCATTGTCACTTTATATTTATTTGCAAATATCACGTACTCGCTGATATTCTGTGGGACACTCATGCAATATTATTCACTTTAGCGCTATTTTGAGCGCCTTCACTTTGAGTATGTCACTCTTCTCACTTTACTAGCATTCAGGTTTTGTAATATTGTACAGCGCTGCATTTTACGTATTTATATACACAAATTAGTAGGGGATTCCACCAAGGTATGTTAGTAAGAAGTAATGATTCCAGTGGTTACACAATCAGACCAAAAAAAATTCAAACAGCACTGGGAAGACACTGGCTGACTGCTCTTAAAGAAGAACTTCAGGCAAACTACTAAATATAGGAGTTAAATACATAAATGTTTATTAGTTTACCCATCAAAAGATTTGTTACTTTGGTAAGACTTCTTGCGATACATAACTCTCTGCTAGTCAGAAAAAAGTCTACTAAGTCCTCATTCAGCATTCTGCTTTCTAGGTCTGTACAGACTCACTAGACATAAGTGATGATGTCTACTTTTTGTCCAAGGAGGAGGGCTGGAGGTGAAGAGATGACAAGAAGCTGAGCCAATAAACCAGAAACATGAATTGCTTAATTAGTAACTGTGTGTCACCTAATCAGTACTGCAGTGGGCAAAAACACATGTAAACCAAAATACTGGATTTACAGAATTACAAATCCTTTGACAAGCAAAATAGTAAACAAAGTATTTAAACTGTGTATTTGCCTAAAATTCCACTTTGATGTCTTGAGGGACTCCTGATTCTAACTAACATCTACCAGGTCCACCAAATTCTCCTGGCCATTATCCGGCGATTTTTTTTTTTTCTTGGCAAGCATAAGTCATATTGAGACTCTCTCAGAGACAAATGAGTGAAGATGATGTGAGAACCAGGAATTCCAACAGGAGGTTTCACTACTGAAATTAGTTGGTCTCAGGAGCCACATAGTGATAGTGCAACAAAAATGTTAGTTCTGCATGGCCTGGCCTTTAAATACAGAGTTAAGCTCTGCACCATATCTGTACACTAGAGGCCATAGTGCCGAGTCTGTGTCGCTATGACATTCTTCAAAGCTTCTCCTTGTCCACTGCTAGAATCATCTTCACATTAGGCCAAGTCTCTTCAGCTCTGCTCTAACGGTTTCAGGGTGCTCTTGTTTCCAATTTGCCATCAGAGGTAGCCGTGGTGGGCCCAAATCTATTCCGGATGTCACAGACATTATGTTTTTAAACTCTGGTAAACCCCAGCCTGCAAAGAAATAACACAAATATTTTCAAATACAATCAGCACTGGTTTTACTTCAAAGCAATGTCTTATTGATTATTCTGGTTCACTACACTTTGCACTGTATAATAAACAAACTCAAAAAATTCCATACTGTTTGGCACTTCTGGACAAATAAAGTCAGAACCACTGGCTACTGCTCTGTGAGCAATGATGCTGGAGCATCAATGGTTTTCAGTGGCTTTACCCTCACTTCAGAAAGCATTGCACAGGATCCCTGTTGGGGGTGGTGGGGTACTTCACAGATGCCCATTTACATGCATAGCATTTTAAAGGAAACCTGTCATGTGAGAATTATAAAGGCTACAGCAGCTGACCATTCCTTCTGAAACTGCTAGTTACCTGGCTGTCATGCTCAGGCATTGGCTTCAATACTTCCTGAGTGACTAGCCTGGAACAAAGTACAGAGACAAGAAATTCTGATACTTATTTCACAGCAAGCACATTTTAGGTCTGTGACTCAAAGTACTGATGCCACAGTCAGGCAGCAAGCATTTTTAGAAGAACCCCACACATCTTAGCATCAATTTAAGAGGCCTGTACTTGTGCAGACATGGCCTACTTAGCAGAAGAGAAGCATGTGCACTGCGGTGGCAACGCTGCAGAGGCTCTTTGAAAGCTCAGGGTATTGCCACCAAGAACAAGAAACTAGAGTCACTGCCATGTTTATCAGATAATTTGTTTATGAGGACTAGTGAATAGTAAAGTGCAGCGCTAAATAAATGACAGTAAAGTCCCAATATAATTCAATATACAGTCGGTGCTATGAATAGTGCCAGTAAGCGTATCCTTCTTAATGGTGCTCCAAGCAAATGATAAAATTATGCGCTTACCAGAAGCGCATAGATTATGCACATTGATATAACCAAAAACAGGAGCATCAGAGTAGTGATGTATGTATCTGGGACATCCATCTCCTATTGGACAGCTCTGCAGTAAATGGGTGATGTCTGCTGCAGAGGTCTCCTTAAGGATCAGCAGGGTCAGCCACCTGATTACAGGAATTCCCCTTCTCTGGATATTGAAGAACTTCTCAGGTTCTGCATACTTAAAGGCGGGCTCTGGTCAGGACACTGAGCTCTCCTCACACCGCCGTGTCCGGGCTTCCTCCTTTCTTTCTGAAGAAGGGAAATACCGTGCAGCAACAACCTACAGGCCCTTGTCGTCACTTCCTGCCACAGCCGTTGCTGCACGGTATTGCCCCTGAGGAAGTCATGTGAGAGGTGATGCAACGCGTAGGTGATGTCATTTCCGGCGCAGATGCCATATTTGGACTCCCTTAAGAACCCAGCAAGTACACCCATGCATGAGGTTCTATATGCTCTGTACAAGAGGAAAAATGTGAGTGTCCTGTATATGTTCTTTTACTCAAGCAATAAATGATAATGCACTATGGAGGCTTTTTTCTTTGTGGATTATGTGGGAGCTGATATGTCCAGATAAGAGCCATTTAGGATATTTCCTGTGGATACGTTTTAACCCAGGAGGATCCAGGAGTGATCCATAAGGCATTTTGACCCTTTTAGGGTTGCAGCAAGGAGGTGAGGGGCCAATCTTACTGAGTGTGCAATCATCACCAGGACCTACCAACACACAAGATTCACCTGCATGTGTATTGTATGTTGTGGACATTGGTGGCACATTTTGTTTATTTACTTTTTTTGAGTGATGTGTTCACTCATTGCGTTGTCATGACTGTAGCTATCATTGGTAATGACACTGAGCACTTGAGTTTTTAGATATATCCCCTCTAATAGGGGGCCTATTATTGGTTATTTTCACTTGTAGCACTATTGTGTTGCACTTTTCCTTCAATATTATTTACATTTATTTACTATTATGTCAGTATTTGTATATATAGGGATTTAGTTATAATTAGGAGCACTGCACTTATTGTTTATTTTGATTTTTCACTTTAGGTATAAGGTACAGGTGTAGCAGCTTATTTCTAGTTTATTAGGATTGAGCGCAGGAGGTTTCCCCATTGATCTATTAAGAAGGATACGCTTACTGGCATTATTCATAGCACCGACTGTATATTGAATTATATATTATATTTACTTTCATTTATTTAGCGCTGCACTTTATTACTCTTCACTTAATACTGGAGGTTTTTACGTGGTTACCTGAGTGTATCAGCTGCTATAACGGAGAGCGCTCACTATTGCTACATTTTACTTTGTTTATGAGGACTGTTCTCATACACAAAAGGACACAGTTAAATAATAATTAGAATAGTCTTCCTTTTTTTTGGAAGGGGGGGAGATGTTGCATTTTACTGATACTTCAAAGGTGCCAAACTTGTGCTTCTAAACAATTAACAGAACATTAGGTACCAGCTGTCAAAGCCCAAAATTTACTTACCCAAGGCAAAAACAAAAGCCATAAATTCCTGTATTTTACACTGAAAACAACAAAAATACAGATTAGCAAGAATTTCAGAATAAGGCGTATGCTATAAGAAACCAAAACTAACATGAAAAGGAAAGTACCTGAATTTCCCGGGCCTTTTTTAAATTGCCTTCTTCAAATGCCGCCAGCATTTTATGAGTGGTAGAACCCAAGTAGTTGTAAGTACTGTGAAGAAATGGTTTGTGTTATAATATTACTAACCAGCTTCATAAGCATTTCAAATTATTTTCTCATTCTAGACAACAGATTACAAATCTCTAAAGCATCGTGACATGAGCACCGTGTACTGGATAAAAAATAACTCCACCAAAGCTCTATGAACAGAGGCAGGGTAACAATAGTGAAATGTGTAAATTTTATAGAAAAAAAGAATAAACCATGAAAAATTCTCAATGCAAAGAAACAATAGAAAGCACTTGGGTTATTCACTCCAGTGTGGCTATGACCCAGCCATAACTCAGTGTGTGTGTAGAATTGCAGCTTTCAATCAACAAGCTTACTGTAGGTGGCTCAAGGATACTAAAATGAAAACTTTCACCTATTCAGCACTGTGCTACTTTAACTGGCAATTGCCTGGTCATGCAACACTGTACCCAAAAGAATTTATCATTTTGTTTCCACACAAATAGAGCTTTCTTTTGGTGGTATTTGATCACCACTGGGTTTTTTATTTTTTTTAATATATAAAACAAAAAAAGACCAAAAATATTGAGAAAAAAAAAAAAATAAAACAAAATATCAAATTTCTTCATACATTTACCCCCAAATTTATTCTGCTACGTGCCTTTGGAAACAAAAAAATCCCAATAAGTTTACATTAATTGGTTTGTGCAAAAGTTATAGCATCTAAAAACTATGGTATAGATAGTGGAATTTATGCAGCTATGACACTATACTGGTAATGGTGGTAATCAGCGACTTATAGTGGGACTGTGATAGTGTGGCAGGCAATCTAACACTAGCTGATGCTAGCTGGGAGGTACACTAACTGACATGGACATCAATAGTGACAGTAATCTAGTGATCAGTGCTAATACTGTACACTGTCACTCTACTAATGACACTGGATGGGAAGGGGTTAACATCAAGGGTTTTTACTAAGATTTGGCTGGTTTTTTTTTCTCCCTGTTTTTGCAGAGGGAAGAATTAGCCAGATCGCTGCTCTCTGTACAGAGCCCTGTGTTGTTTGTAAACACAGGGCTCTGTGCTTTAATTGGACACAGCATATCAGCAGGTCTCAGCCATAAATCATTGGCCCGGGACCTGCTGTTAAAATTCCAGCTACAGTATGGGTCACACGTTCGCCCAAACCTGAAGTAGGCTCGCAATGTTTATGTTGCAGAGCCTGCAGTTGGCACCCGGTCACAGTAAACCTACTGTGACCAGCTGGCAAGTGGTTAAAAAGCACCATAACAATCCTAATTTCATGCCATATTACTTATGAAATGAAAGAAAAAGCTCACTTTAACCTAGCATTTGAGTTCCCCACAGAGTCCATAAAGTCCTGCACATAAAAGAGTTTATGGACTAACAGTAGTCAAAAACAATCGATCCCATACTTCCCCCGAATACCATTTGTCCCATACCAAACACATCAAGAATCAGCTCTTCCAAAACCAAAACCTTTGTGCTGCATCAAGACATTAAGATTTTCTTATAGGGATCTGTAGAGAACATACAGAATAAGCAAAGGCAGCAGGTCGCAGGAGAACTGGAGGAAGAAGTGCTTCATATAGAAGTTAATTATTAGACCAGCATCACAGGAAGCACACAGGTTTAGGCTGGTCATACACAAATGGCTAAACACAAACATCTAACATATTCCTCCATCTACTCCACACAGCACCAAAGGACAAATCCTCCTCCTGTACTCTGACAACTGCCAGGAGTGCTGACAAAATACCTGAGCAGTGGCTGCATCTCACTGGAAGCAGCTGCTGTTCAGTCAATGATTTTCCACCTGTTCCTTTGATTTTTGAATTGAATGACAGTGAGCGGGAGGGAGCCAACAGGGCACAATTTCATCAGAAACTGGCCAAAATTCGCATAGTGTATCTTGATTATCTTATAGAAGCTCCACCCAAAAGGGGACATTTGCTTTAAAGACCTCATCCCTCGTTCTCTGCTAAAGACCTTTGGGGAGTGGGGGGGGGGGGGGTACCCGGAACTGGACAGGTACCCACTTCCACTTTTGCTGCGCTCGCCTAGGAGATTGGAAGCGGAAGTTGTTCCCTCCCTCCCCGTAGTCTTCTGAAACACATGACAGGTCCCAGAAGACTTTGGCACCATTCACAAAGTGCAGCACTATTCGCATATGTGCAGTGGACACCTGGCTGTGAAGCCACAAGCTCTTACAGCCGGATGTCAACACTGAAGATGCCAGCGCAGGGGACACAGGATGGCTGGTGAACCTGGCTGCGGTGAGGACAGCGCTAGATTGAGGGACAGGCGACTGTTTTTTTTAAAAGTCAGCAGCTATAGTTTTTGATAGCTGCTGACTTTCATTGCTTTTAACTTTTGACTGGAGCTCCACTTGAGTTCAAAAATATTTGGGTGGAGTTCTATGGCCATATAATTGTCAATAGTTATGTAAAAAGAGGTTTTGTGCTTTGTTTGACATAATGTTCATACCATAACAAAAAGTTCCGTTTACCTGCCCACTGCTCCATGCGCACCAAACACTAGACTTCCTAGGAGTTGCTGTATGGAAAAAAAATAAAAACAAAAAACACAAAATGTTACAAAAGTTTCCATTCACATAAACAAAAACCTTAGAAAAAACCTCAAAAACAGACAAAACAAAAACAAGCAAACACAAAGCACACACCTCATCTACACCGAAGAGAAAATCAAGCTCCTTATACTCATGGATACACAGGCTGAAATCCATCAGGTTGACATCACTAAATTTAACTCCTCGGAATGATGGGATGTGAAGCTGCATCTTGCCCACCAGATTTCTCACTTGATCTATGTAGGGCAAAACATAGGATCATAAGAGTTGAAGCAATGTGCATCTATCTAGGGCCATAGGAGCTGAAAAAAATGAATCTGTCACCTATACAAAATGATCCATAAGATCAAAACAGACATGGTTTTTTTTTTTTTTTTTTTTTTTTTTTTTTTAAGTGCAGTGTGTAAAAAAACAAAACATCAATGTGTACCAAAAAAGCTCATGTAAATACAACGAAGTGCACTAGGGTGTGTCATATGGCTTCCTCCCAAATAGGAAAGACCTTTCCCTGACACCTCAGGGCATAAGACTCCTGAGGGAGGCAAGGCACATGCAGGTCTTTCAAAATTAGTGCAACTCAGATGGAGTTGGAATAGCACCAAAATGACTACTTCCATTGCAGACAATAGGGTGTGACTTGTCATGCGATTTGAAACTACAAAATTGCATGACAAGTCGCGTTGGTGTGTCCGGGTACTAAGAGCTGGTGCATTATTAAGTCTACTCTCCCATTTCTGCCACAGACACAAGCAGATGTCTCATTGACAGAGATAGTTGCGAGACATCTTTACATTTTCTTCCTATTACCTTGGAGCGCTTGGAACTTACCACAGTGTTCTCCTTGGCTTGGCTGAAAGGTGAGATCATGTACCTTTAATGACAGCCTCCTTCCCTTTCATTCAAAGAAACAGGAACTAGCATGTATTTGTGCAGAAATTTGTAATATATTGGAAAACGTGTATGATAAAGAGTACCTCTGACAATGGAAACGCTTGTTGATGATCTCCATTTAACCCTGTACGGCCTGATCCCTGCAAGCAATGCTTAAATCTGTCACACCACTTCATACATGTGCAAAGCCACCTTTGGTTTACACGGAACCCTATATGATGCCCAGACTAGTTCAGTTGTTCTGGTAGTAAAATGTTGTGTGCTACATAAGATCGTATACAAACAATAAGACATAAACAGATCCGTATTGTTGCAGTTCTGGCCAACCTGAACACTGCCTTTTAACTGACAACTACAGCAGGGGATGATAATAAGAAAAATGTAGTTGCTTTGGAGTTCCCCTGAAAATACAGAGCTACAATAAGGCTTCATGATCCAGTCTGCAACTACTTTGAAACATCCACCCTCATTTATTGAACCTTCCTCTCATACTTACAGTTCACACCAGATAAACTCGGAATGTGATAGTAGTAAAAGGGAAGACTGGGTGCAGCTGCTGCCACTTCTTTCAGGTAAAGGACTAAAGCATCTAGAAAGTAAAAGTTGAAATAAGAAAAGTAAACCAATCACTGAAAGTATAATACAATCTAGGAAACACTGCAGCTGTGGTAAAGCAAGAAAGATCAGCCAAATTACAGAGCCATGGGTGGCCCTGTCTGTGCCACCTGGCTGATGCATTCACTGCCTGAGTATTCAAATATCCAAGAGAGCGGGCAGGTGCAGATTCTTCCATGCATTAGAGATCTGGTGTATGGTTAGCCTTAAAAGTGGTCGTAAACTCTTACATATACCCTGTAAAACTGACTGGCCTGATTAAATAGAAAAGATTAAATAAATTCTTCTACATAAGTTGTACCTGTTTATCTACGGTCCAGAATTTATAAAGCTTGTTTGAGCTTTCATAAAACAACAGGGGGCAGAGAGCTGAAATTACACACTGCAGAGCTTAGGAAGGAAAGCTCTGGTTGGAGAGAGGGACCAAGGGACAAAGGACCACCCCCCCCCCTCCAATTCAAACAGCACACAGGAAATGAGCGGAGGCTGTCAAATACAGGCTGCTGAGCTGGAGATCCCTCCCCTATCCCCTTTTTTCTCTTGGTGTTAGGAAAACTTGTCAAAAGTGATTCATAGCAGAGGAATGAAGCAGCAGACAGAAATTCCATTTACTGCTCTTAACTGAGACAAGTACACAATAGAAAGGGATATGCTTTGTTCATATTGCATGTCTGAGGTTTACAACCACTTTAAGCTGGCCATAGATGAATAGAAAAATTGTCTGGTTCAGCAAGAACCAGACAAATTTTGATTCAACTACAGCTGTTCCTGCTAGAGAGAAGTCAATTTAATGATCGGCTTCTCTCGAATGGTAATGTTAGGGATCCTTCATTCGGTCAGTGCTACAGCCAATCGGCTGCAGACCTAATTTGTGTATTCTGTTAGTGGAGAAGTCCCACTGTCAGAATACATTAGCGCAGCAGGGAGGATTCCTTCAGCCACTTTGAGAGTGTGCATGGGGGAATCTGCTGAACAGATAAAAAACAACCCATCTATGGCCAATAGATGGGGTGGGAATAGAACTCTTGAGTAAGACTGAGTAAGTTAAGAAAAGGTGAATTCAGGATGCAAGCTGCCCTACATTTGTATTCACATTTACTGCAGTTTTTCCGTTAACATGTAAATTCTGTCTACCTATAACCTGCAATTACCTCAGTGATAAACACAGGCTTTAAAAGGGAAGTATGGGATATATTAAACCCCCCCATTATACTCACCTAGGTGAATGCAGCATCGGTCTGATGCTGCATCTGTCCTCCACCAGATATTCATTGAGAACAGAGTGATTAAACACCACTGATCACTCAGTTCCCCCCTCTGCTCTAAGCAGAGAGCCATGACTATCAGTCACTGTCTCTCTGCCCTGCCCTGCCCGCGTTCACTGGAGCGCCGAGCTGTGGAGAAGGCAGAGGGGCTGGTTCAATCTCCCAGCTGCGCAGCAGAGAGGCTGATCCAGCTGCCAGTCCAGGTTTCTGGGTGGATCCCGGTTGGGATCTTTTCAAACCCTGGACCGGCTCTGTGACGTCATCCGACAGCAGGCTTTAGGAGAAGTATAGCCAAAGAAGCGTGAACTATATTTCTCCTTTAAAGCACAGGAAAGGCAGGTCATTGCACAGTGCATCTTATGTACATGAACCTACAGTTAGTACCTGCTTTATAAGGTGAACATCCTTTTCAATGCAAATAACTATGCATGCTTTATGTATTGAGTAACAGCCACATGATTTAGAAATGGAGAAGAGGTTCTTGTTTCAAGAAAACATAAGGGCCGGTTCACACCAGATGTAGTCTAGTGCATTTTTTTTTTTTTCTGCATCAAAAATGCACAGACAGTAGATTATATGGGTTCCAATGACATAGTTATCACCTGTGCAATCAGTTTCAGTGCAGAAAAAAAAAAAAAAAGTAGAACATGCATTTAAAAAAAAAAAAAAAAAACACCATATGAGGGGAAATAATGCACTGTAATGTAGTAAAAATGAATCGAAAATGTGCATGCAGAAGCACATCCAGAGTGAGTTTTGGTGGTGTGAACTGTCAGCAAAAATGCATCCGGAACGCATCCAGAATGCGTTTTCGTGGTGTGAACTGGCCCTAAAATTAGTAAGACTTATAACCAACTGGCAGTGGAAAAACAATTGGTGGCAGGTGTAGTTGTTGCAGCTGACAACCTGGTATAGTAGTTCTAGGTGTAAAAACATCTTCTTAAAAAAGGGGAAGATCAGAAGAGAATGGCAAGATTGATTCAAGTTTACATGTAAACCAAATAATCATTCTTCACTACGTTTGTAAAAACAATATAAAACTTTGAAATATGCATCTAACAGCAGCAAAGGCACTAGGTGACACACACACACAGAAATATGTATTTTATTTACCTTGGCTGGATGGCTTGAGAAAAGAAGGACTCACAGAACTAATTGCATCAGCTCCACAAGAAGCTGCGTGGGCAGCCTAAATGAATGACAATGAAAGACAGCCATAATGTTAACAACTGGAGCACTGTCCAGACTACTGTACCTAAGCTGGCCATACACTAGTATATTTTTTATAAACAAAATTCTCTTACATTCAACGGCTTGACAAAGATCATTCAAAATTGCATCAAAATTTAGCTTGCCTTTAACATTTGATTTTGGAACAAAAGGACTTTACCAAACAAAACCACATACACGGTTAGAAATGTGTTTGAGAAAAAAAAAAATCCTGCTTCTTTGAATTTTCTTATCATTGATGTCAAAAATCAAATGACAATTTAAGGCATCATTTAGAAAATCTAAGAAGCATTCCCAAAAAGAAAAAGGTTTTAAAAATGCTACTAGTGTATAGCTAGTATTACAATGACACTGACAGACATCTACAAGTAGGATCCCTCATCATGCACACATTCACAATGTGGTGTGCATCACTGGATTTCCCCTCCAATCCTATTAGGTATGATATGTACAAACACACACATGCTGCAAATCTGAGCAAATTTATTTCTATTGTAAAGGCCTATGTTGTGTGGAATGTAATCAACAAAAACCCAGGTATTGCTCCGTAAAGTAAACACCATTCTATCAATTTTGTTTTTATGCAATTGTTTGATTCATTTTGACAGCAAACAAAAAGTCCTCCAACCAAAACCATGCACAGCAATGCAAAGCCTTATTGTAATAGAAGGTATTCACATATCTCATTCCATCACATATCCCAAAAATAGGATTATTCTTCCTCCTCAATTTAAGGCCTCTAGGTAGAGCCATACAAACCATTCCTTTATGCCCCAACATCCAAATGTAATCCAGAACTGCTTCTATGTAGTGCAAATACAACACAATTTTAAAGGACAAGTTCACCTTTTACTAAAAAATAATAAATGGACATTTTTTAGCAGGTAACAAAAAATGTGCATTTATTATTTTTTTTTGTTGCAAGAGCCTGTATACCATTGCACCAGTGATCAGCAGATCGCTGGTGCCATGCAGGTCTCCTGCACACCGGTCAGTATATCTGCTTGCCTTTATGGGATGTAAGGTCAAGCAGATATGCTGACAGGAAGCATCAATGAACTACTACAGAGCTCAATTGCGTCATGGTTGTTCATTGAGAACTACAAGCCGACAGCCGCTAATTTTTAATTTCAACAGCTAGCAAGGGTAAGAAGTTCCCCCGATAGCTGTCAAAGCAGGGGGAGCGGAAGCTGGTCTATTCATAACATGCTACATCTTGAATATGGGGTGTAACATGTAACATGTTATGAAAGCAGAACTTATCATTAAAAGAGCTCTTTATTTCAAACTGCATACAGCTGTTTCAGGTTTTACTTTGGCAATTGTAATAGCAGTTTATGGAAACCGTGGCTTCTATGCAGAAGGGTTTGAAAGCCAATGAGACAATATTACCATACAGGTTATGGTGAGAAGCGAGTAAATCAATCAAAAAGCCCTCCAACCATGTGTGGAGCAATGCAAAATCATTCCCTTATGCCCCAACTGCTCAAATGTGACAAACTACTACTGAATAAAAACGGTTTACAACTTAGGACAATGTATACGTATGGCCAGCTCCAGTAAGAAAAGTGTGCCTTAGGCTGGGGAACTAGGCAATTTTAAGAAAGGAAACTACCAACCATCAAGATTTTGAGGTCAATTCACTAAGAGATAAATACTGCATGAATTTTTGAATTAAAAGAACTCATTCGGTATTTATTTCAAAAGTAGTCAATTTACTAAAAAACATGCGTTATTTACCGAATGCATTAAATATTTATGTTCTGCGATATTTAGCACTTACACTACGAGGACGTGCTTAGCACGAAACGCGTCAGAGGGGCTACAGCATCTGGACATCTAGCCACCGCTGGTGGCCATCCTGAATTTTTGGTCAGTACTATCTTTTGTTTATTAATAAATTCAATTAAAACGCATCAAAACAATATTATACTATGTGGCGTCCCTTATTGGGCTCTCTCTGGGAGCACCACCTTCTGCAGTGCCTGCTTTAAATAAAGGGGACCCCTGATGCCTGTGATTGCTAGATGAACCTTGGAGCCCTATTACTACGGGGAAGCAGAGGATGATGTAGAGTGCGGCCTGACCAGAATGCTGATGACCTAGGTGTTTGATGAGAAAAGACACTTCTTTCATGCGTATTTAATACGCACTTCTGGTGAGTGCGCATTCTATTCATTTAACTATCTTCACCTCTGGATTGCACACTGTCACCACGGACAGGATCCTATATGATTGATATGATTAATACTTTGTGATCTGGATGTTTGTGTGATTATTAATTGTTATCGCACCCTGTGCATTCATATAAGTTTTGCATATTGCACATATTAGTCTGTTGTCATTTGCATTTTAGCTCTTAGCGCTGCACCTTTTATTTCTTTAATGAAAACATTGTAGTTTGCTTTCATTCACAAAATGATCTCCCTCTGATGAAATGTTACAATTTATTTTCATTCTTGAGCCCAGAGGAGAACATTGTACACTTGTACATTGTATACTTTTCACTTTCTGGCCAGTGCAGAGTTCCTCTAATTGTTATTTTGTACATTTCTAAAAGACCGCCAGCAAACACCTAGTGATAAATAACAAATGTGTGTACATTTTAATGAATGGACTTTAATGATTTATTTCAGGTTTTTTTACGGTATTTATCTCTCAATTTTAACAAATGTGTGCCATTTACCTCATAATCAATATTTTAATTTCATGAATTGACTCTTATTAGCTCCTGGGATAATTTATGCAATTGAGTCACGTGACTGTTATCGAATGCAGTAACCTTTAGTGAATTGGTCCCTTTGGGCCTATGCACTGGACCCTGTACCCCAACTAGCTTCTTGTCTAATGAGAAATCGTCTGTGGCCGATAAGTTTTTCCCTTTCCAAAGTAAAACACCCAAGTAAAAAGGCTCTGGAGGAAAAAGCCACTCTTTAACATGCAAATGACCTTCATAGGTACAAGCTAAATTGTGAGCGCCTTAAGAAGACAAAAAAAACAATATTAACAAAACCAAGATTTCTTTTAATCTAAAGAACATGGCAGCACTATATAAATACTGTATATACAGAAAATAATAATAAATAGCAAGCCTTGCACTAGGTGGGAGAATTTTATACAAATATAAATATTTCTATTAGATAGAAACAAAGATGTTTTATAAAAAGATTTACATCAATGATCAAATATAAAATAAAACTCACCAAATCCTTTGTGTCTTCCAGGCTGAGACAACCAACATGTATTATCACATTATCCATTCTAGAAAAAAAAAAAAAAAAAAAAAAAAGTAGTGAACCAATATTTGAACAATAAAAAATAAACCAAAATAAATAAAGCCTGCTAATTTTGTTCAAAAATAGATTATAGCATGTATAGCATCACTTAACCAAAACCCATCCATTTTTAGATTGCTAAAAGCAGAATTGGACAATTGATGTAGAATTCAGTTTCCAGACTGTACAATCTTGAAGTCTAGCACAGACCTTGTACGTCTGGACCAGAATGAAGGATGCATAGGGGGTTATTTATTAAAAATGGATGGTACAAAGTCTGGTGCAGCTCCACAAAGAAACCAATCAGCTTCCAGGTTTTATTGTCAAAACTTAATTGAACAAGCTGAAGTTAGAAGCTGATTGGCTACCATGCACAGCTGCACCAGATTTTGAATGCACCAGTTTTAGTAAATCTCCTCCCATAGTGTACATTCTTTACACCCACCAAGCCACACCTTTCATGGATCCAAGTATAGCACATAGAAAGGTAAAACCCAGTACACACTGCAAGGTTATTTTTTGTTCCACCAACGGTTTGAATGGAGAAAAAAAAAAAAAATTCCATATTGCTGTACCAACACAGGCGATGTTGGTATGGTGATCTTCCCCCGCTGTACTACGGTATTCTGACAAGGTGATTTCATTCCCTCTGCCAGAATACACTGATAAGCGCTTGTGGTCATTGGCTACAAGTGCTGATTGGATGCTGACTTTCCAGCATGTCCCTTTGACAAAAGCCGGTCTTTAGACTGCACATACTGACTGAAAGTAGGCCAGTTCCTCCTGAACCGGCTGATTTTCAGCCAGTATGTACCCAGCTGCATATAGTCATCATTAGATTCAATCAATTATGGCCAAATTAGGTTAAAAATCACATTGATTTAGAGTTCCTGTTGATATGACAGCTATCTCCTCCTTACTGATTGACCTGCTAAATAGCCAAGTTAATGTCCTGGATAATAGTTAATTTTCCTCTAATACTAGGATGACGGATACGCTCAGAAAGGTCTGCAATGGTAGTGCTAGCTCAGTCAATAAACATGCACAACCTTAGTGTGTGTGTCTAAACTTGCATTCCATGGGAAGAAAAAAAGTCATACAACAGTCCAGCTATACAGCTGTATATATTTGATGTCCAGGCTACTGCACTAAAGCTGGCCATTGGCAGCTCATTTTTTCTATCAAAATTGATAGAGAAATCTTCTACTACTTGCTATTGTACTGAGGCAGCCACACATACATGTGGTTACCTGAATACAGTGGTGCTGCTGAACAGTGACTGTATAGGAGAGGATGCAGTCGCATTTCAAGAAATCATTTTCCAACCATCTCAGTTGACTTCTCATACCAGCTATCTTCTGTGAATTACAAAACACCTTCTCTCTATGTAATGAAAAACAGGAGAGGGGAAGTGTTAGTATTGTAGTCAGGAGCGCAGCCTAGGGTGACAATACTGCTCCTGTATAGATACAATAGGGCGAGTAAGAGTTGTCACTATACGGAAGAATGTGTTAGTTCCAGAATTGTCAGGTGAAGATGAAGGACAAAACTAATGCAGCCACCACATCCAAGGTGTATCTAATAAGCTGCAATATATGACACTGGGCTTAATTTTTGGGCTTAAATACACTTTAATGCAGGGGTGAACAAAGTAATGTAGAATCTAGGAGTCTAATCTAGCAGTCAACTGGTATGTTTAAAGCTCAACCCTGGGCAAATAAAAAATTATCCCTTGCAGAAGGGCTTCTCAGCACAAAATGGGCTATTAATTATGCAATGGATAGTTTTTCTCTGCCCAGAATTAAGCTTTAAAGCTAAAGTTTACTGTAGGTATGACAATTTTTATAAATATATACTTATACCAATGTGTATGTGCCATACTTGTCCGATCCCTGTGGAAGCTGGAAAATAACTGTAGTAGGCACCACTACTACAGTGACCTCTGCTAGCTTATGGGTCCCATGCTGAGTGGTTGCATTGATGCTTACTGAACACAGGAGGTTGCTCAGCACAGTTGCCATTCAGAGAATACTTTGCATTGTCTTATGGATAGCAATATGTTCTCTGATTGGATGAGGTGGAAATTGTGAAGTCAGCACTCTGCCTTGTCTAATTAGAGAATTGTTTGCATTTATTGAGAAAATGTTAAGTGTTCCCTTACTGGCATCTGTGCTGAATGAGCAACCTTCTGTGTTTGGAAACTAGCAGAGATGCCTACTACAGTGTTTTTCAGGTTCCACGGGGCCAATTAGGTATGGAACATACATACTTATATTGATCCAAGCTGGACCAATTTAATTTTACTTAATGTAAAATTCTCATACCTAAACTTCAGATTTAAAGACATGAAAACTGGGCTGTCATTGTCAAACGTTACAAATATATATCTATCAGTCAACCTTTATTCTGTAGCTATATCAACTCCCTGGCCACTGGATTTGAAGAGCTCTCATTTAATGAAAGATATACGATTTTGATGGGCTACTCACTTGCCTCTTCCATGCTTTACCCATTCTTCAGCCAGCCTCTTCCTCTCCTGTACACTCAACGACATCCCCTCTCCTGTTGTCCCATTTACTGCATATAAAAACATGGAAACACAAATGATTACAATAGTCTTTGTTTATAACGTGTATTCAACAGGCACCAGTTTTCTTGATTCTTGGTTTTAAATTTGACCGTGTGGCAAACTAAACAGTATCTGCATTGATAAATTAGGATAACCACACCTTTTATAGTTTCTTAAACTGGCATGTTTGTTGGTAATTATAGTAGACAAGTCTATGCAGTGTTTTTTTTTCTTCTTTTTTTTAATAATTGAACTCTGTTAACCATTTCAGGACTGGATACTTTTACCCCTTTCCGGTCTAGGGCATTTTTCAGCTGTCACTCTATGACAATTACTCAGTCATGCAACACTGTACCCAAATGAAATTTTTATTTTATTTTTAGACAGATAGAGCTTTTTTTGGTGGTATTTAATCGCCAGTGGGGTTTTTTATGCTTTGAGAATATATATAAGTTTTAAAAAGAAAAAAAAATGTTCTTAGTTTTGGTCATAATATTTTGCTTCACTTCTCTGCTTCACTTCAATTTTACTTCACACATTAATGCTAAAATGGATTCTGCTACAAAATAAATAATCCAAATCAATATATATTATTTAGTCTGTTATGAAAGTTATAGAGTCTACAAACTATGGAACATATATTTGAAAAATGATCAGCCCTGATGAACTGGCTATCTCATTTCTTGAGGCCTGAAACTACACGGTGTATGTTCATAAAGTAGTGAATGTGATTTTGCCAAAGCTTCTTCTGGTAGTGAATCAATCACGGACGTTCGTGCGGATCCGCAGTGGCACCACCCGCACAGATGTGAACCTAGCCTTAGTCTATAGGTGACATCACCAGCCAAGCATTGTAGCCATTGTCTCTGCTCTCTCTTCTCCCCTGAAGCTGGGCTGCTGGGGAGATCATGTAACCAGACCAGATTGCCCTTAGATTAGGTACACGCATCTTTCCATTACAGGGTATTTAGCATACAGATTGAATGAGGGTGGGGGCAGGTTTAAGCTTAGGTATTGACTGGACTTCCACTAAAAAAAAAAAAAAAAAAAAAAAAAAAAAAAAGGAAGGATAGCGTCACATTGCCCAATTAGGTCAGAATGACAGTGCCACCTGATACCAAGTCCCCTTCTTTTTTCTCTTACAGGGAATACTTAACCATACATCCTCCTCCTCCACCCTTCCATCACCCTGTTGCTCTAAAAAGCAGGGATTCCCAGTATGGGAGACCAAAAAACTACCCCCAAGTGAATTTACCAAGGCCTGGACACTCACCAGATCACAGTCAAAAGAAATTGGGGAAGACTTGTTCAATATAAAATGCTTGGATGAAAAATTAATTACTCAGTAGGCTATGTGCAATTCTCAGGGCTCATTGACACCAGCAGATACATAAGAATGCATCCTCTGGTGTGTGGGGTAATGACAGTGGTGGCGATGCAGTCCATCAAACGGTTTACTTTTTTTGTGCAAACTTCACTGAAATGTCCCAAAGTAACATTTCATTAAGTTTTATTAGCTGCAGTGCATAGTGATGCAGTGGATTTCATCACGTCATGCTGAAATGGAAAAAAAAAAAAAAAAAAAAAAAAAAAAAAGTACTGAATGCCATACTTTCTTCCAGTGTGCACCACTGATGGCTGGCGTGATGGCAAACAAAGTTTCTGCCATGTCTTGTATTGAAACTGTGCTGGGGAAGGTTGCCAGTGCAGTTCCAACACACCTGGTGTGAATAGGCCCTCAATGTTTAATGCAGGGTGGATAAAAATCAATGATAAAAAAAAAAAAAAAAAAAAAAAAAAAAAAAAAAAAAAATTGGATTTTTTTGATTTAAATCAGATTTTTTTTAATAAAATGCTTTTTGGAGGAAAATATATTACTATCCAAAGGTCATTCCATCATGAAATAAAGATTAGTTTTTTATTTATGTAGAATAAGGCTGTATATGTTTAATTTTTTGGGTAAATAAATTCCATTAATCCATTCACAATGTCATGCTCTTCCAGAGGCTTTTGTAAGATTATTGGGCAGTTTCTCTGCCTACAAGATATTATCACAGATGTTTGGTTTACTTTGCAGTTATCAAATCTGAATTTGACTCAGCGGAGATCACATGCCTCTTCTTCACAGCAAAAATGTTATAACATGAACAGAGTTAAGAAAAAGACCTTAATCCTAACTTCTACAAACCTACGAATACAGAATCAACCCCTTCAGTGCTAAGTTTCAAGAAGTTCAGTGAATAGAAACAATATTTTTCTGATTGTTTGGAGTGGAATAGATCTGCACAAGAAGAAAGTGAAACTAAGTGTGAGGAGGAAGGGGCTGACAGTCTACGTTTCTTAAAATATATATAATTTTGTTTAGCCAAATTAGTTAACAAACATGGATGTTTAAGCAAATAACATATGCTGGAATGTGATTGTTTCAGTTGAATAAATCTATTTAAATTGTTATTATTAAGGTAATGATTATTTTTCTCCTTCCGAAGTACGACAGAAAAGTTGTCCAAATATGAATGATTAATCTATTAAACTGGGGATAAAAAAACTAATATGAAAAGTTGTTATTCTAAAAATCTTCATCTACAGTACTTGCATATTAAAGTTATACCAGCAAGAATTAGCCTATGTAGAAAACTAGGATTTAAATCAAGCCTTACTGACTAGTGATTTAAATCAGTTTGATTTAAATCAAATACACCCTGGGTTAATGTTCAGCTATGGCGAAAGTATACATTTAAGCTCTTTATAAAGTCAACCCCCCACTCATTTTGAATAGAGTAGGTATGGTTTTTGCCAGCTGTTCCCCACTGGGAAAATTTCCCTTCATTTCCTGTTCTGCAGACACAGCAGGGTGGGGGATATCCTTTTGGACAGCTGTCACCAGAACAAATGTCTCCATAGGAAGATTTTCTATGTACTCAAAATTTTGGAATTTCCCTCACTTTTAAGGCCACCAGAACAAAGAGAGGTTTAATTGCTATCTCCAATCATTTACCATCTATCCAAACAAAAAAACAAAACAAAAAAAACAAAAACAAAAAAAACGTACTGGCTTTATATAAAGTATTTCAGGGTAACTGAACTGTGATGGTTGTTTCAAAGCAAAACAAGAGGTCATACTTCCAGAGCGCATTAATGCTAATGGCAAGGACAAGTATTAAACATAAAGACAACAGACAGGCTCACCAAATATATTCTTAACATTTTGTTTGTTGACCAGATAATCTACATATTCCTGGACGACAGAGACGTTGATGTCACTCCTGAAAGAGAGAAAAGGAATTACCAAAAAATATTTGGCTGCTGTGCAGTTATTAATTGAGGTCAGAAATGAATGCTGAAACAATCATCACTTCGGCTACAGGGGTCTGCAGGAAACCTGGCCACAAAAACCCTACAAATAAATGATGTGATGGATTGCATATTCACCTGCTTGTCATTGGAGTGAATGTCGCAGCTACAAGGCCCCTCAGCTTCTTCCCAGCTAGCGCCATGATCCTGTGTATTAAATAATAAAAGGAAACAAATAAGTACAATCTACTACTACCATTCTTGTAGTAGGGGTACAGTGCCTTGAAAAAATATTCATACCCCTTGAAATATTCCACATTTTGTCATGTTACAACCAAAAACGTAAATGTATTTTTTTGGGATTTTATGTGATAGACCAACACAAAGTGGCACATAATTGTGAAGTGGAAGGAAAATGAGAAATGGTTTTCAAAATTTGTTACAAATAAATATGTGAAAAGTGTGGCGTGCATTTTTATACAGCCCCCCAGAGTTAATACTTTGTAGAACCACCTTTTACTGCAATTACAGCTGCAAGTCTTTTTGGGGATGTCTCTACCAGCTTTGTACATCTAGAGAGGGACATTACTGCCCATTCTTCTTTGCAGAATAGCTCAAGCTCTGTCAGATTGGATGGAGAGAGTCTCTGAACAGCAATTTTCAAGTCTTGCTACAGATTCTCAATTGGATTTAGGTCTGGACCATTCTAACTCATGAATATGCTTTGATCTAAACCATTCCATTGTAGCTCTGGCTGTATATTTAGGGTCGTTGTCCTGCTTGAAGGTGAAGCTCCACCTCAGTCTCAAGTCTTTTGCAGACTCTTAACAGGTTTTCTTCTAAGATTGCCCTGTATTTGGTTCCATCCATCTTCCCATCAACTCTGATCAGCTTCCCTGTCCCTGCTGAAGAAAAGCATCAACATGATGCTGCCCCCGCCATGTTTCACAGTGGGTATGGTGTGTTCAGGGTGATGTGCAGTGTTAGTTTTCCGCCACACATAGCATTTTTAGACCAAAGAGTAAAATTTTGGTCTCATCTGACCATAGCACCTTCTTCCACGTTTGCTCTGTCCCCAACATGGCTTCTCACAAACTGTAAACGGGAATTCTTATGGCTTTCTTCTTGCCGCTCTTCCATAAAGGCTAGATTTGTGGAGTGCATGACTAATAGTTGTCCTACAGACAGATCTCCCACCTGAGCTGTGGATCTCTGAAGCTCCTCCAGAGTTACCATGGGCCTCTTGGCTCCTTCTCTGATTAATGCTCTCCTTGCCCGGCCTGTCAGTTTAGGTGGACGGCCATGTCTTGGTAGGTTTGCAGGTGTGCCATACTCTTTCCATTTTCAGATGATGGATTGAACAGTGCTCCGTAAGATGTGCAAAGCTTGCGATTTTTTTTTTTAACCTAACCCTGCTTTAAAAACTTCTCCACAACTTTATCCCTGACCTGTCTGGTGTGTTCCTTAGCCTTCATGATGCCGTTCACTAATGTTCTCTAACAAACCTCTGAGGGCTTCACAGAACACGGAGTTTAAATTACACACAGGTGGACACAATTTACTAATTAGGTGACTTCTGAAGGTAATTGGTTCAACTAGATTTTCATAAAGTCTAGAGTAAAGGGGGCTGAATACAAATGTACACCACACTTTTCAGATATTTGTAAAAAATGTTTAAACCATTTATCATTTTCCTTCCACTTCACAATTTATGTGCCACTTTGTGTTGGTCGATCATATAAAATCCCCAAAAAATACATTTACGTTTGGTTGTAAAATGACAAATTGTGGAAAATTTCAAGGGTATGAATACTTTGTCATAATAACGATCCAGGATTTCATGGAATGCTGGATGTGTATATTTTTATTTTAGATTAATTGTTAATCTTATTGCACATTTTGGTGTTTTAAAAAAGGGATAATGCAATTTAGTAGTGTGCGAGATCACTGCATTAGCGGTAGCAGCAATCTCATTACACATATTTTACTTTTGAAGCACTTTATTCGTTCTTTGTTACTTGCATACATACATACATATAGCAGCACACAAGTTCACATATCATTTCACATACATATGGTGATTCAAATATATCAAAGTTGGTTAAAAACTATGGGGTCTAGTTTTAAGAAATTCACTGTGCAAAGGTTTAATGACTGCACAGCTGTCACAAATAATTGTTATAATGTGCATGTTAAGTGTGAAATGTAATTTTCAATTAATTTCCTATTCTTTCCAGCTCCATCTAGTGGCTATAATGTGGCATTTTTTTTGAAATACAGCAATCAGGAAAAGTAAATGTAATCAGTAAACAGAAAATGCCATTTCACACATACTGTATAGTATTATACACATTGCAGAATATTATTTGCAAAGGCTTTGCAAATGTTGAGACATTGACGCGGGCAATTTTTTAAAAAATAAATAACTTCCTATAAATCTGGAAGGTGATCCGGCTCACTAGTGCCCATCAATCATTTCTGAGTGGGGTTAACCTTTAATAATTGCTCACTAATGATTCAAAGGTCAGTTTTAGACTCAGAACCAATGGCTTTTTGTAAGTATCCCCTATACATACCGTATTTTGTTACATGCATGTTACAGTAATTTTGCAAAAATTATTAGAGGTTTTTTTTTCTTTAATGTAGTTGACGAGCCATGTGATGCTGATCAAGATTTGATAGCACAAGAACAAGATCTTAAACTAGTATAAATGCCAACATTAACAAACTGTATGAAATGATCTTCCTAAAAAGGTCATTGTATCACTTATCAATGAAAGTTGAAGCGTCTGTTTCCACCAAAGCATTAGTGCTTGCTGTTGGCAACTTGAGCTGGCATTTCAAATCCAAAAATGTATACTGGTGAAAAACTGCCCTGACACTAATGCCAAGTTCACACTTGAGCAGATGGTTACAGGTATTGCAGCTGTTCCCACAACCACCAGCAGCCAAATTGCGCTGTTCTGTAGAGCATTCATAGTGGCACCCCCATGTATCTTAACTTGAAGCTCGTTTGCGGGTGAAGGAACCGCAGGGAAATCGCATTGGTGCAGAAGCACCATTAGATTTCGTTGCAGCTGCATTTTTAACAAGGTCCAGGTACCTTTTTTTATTTGTGTGAACGGAATGGGCTGCTGTGCCAGCGAAACACGGGCTGAAAACCCGCACAGGTGCGAACCAAGGGTAAAGCACACTCCTTGCAATTAAGAATCCTTTTGTCTACCTAAGGCAGAACTATGACCTCCCCAAAAAAATATGTGCTGCAGCACTTCTAAGCACATTTGCATTTTCAGCTACTTCTTAGGTGACAATCATACAGTCGCAAGGTTGCAGCCGCAATTCTAAATGCTGCCTACATACACAGTGTGCGACAGCTGTAACTGTTAGCAGCATCTGTCCGATTTGTACTCTGTATAAATCAATGGCCAATGCCACCGCTGTTTGCATGTAACTACTCATCTGAACAGTTACATGTAAATACAGCCTCCAACCGATCCTAGGCACAGACAGTGTGAGTCCAGGGTTGGAGATTCTGTAACCAGTTTGCGTGTGGCTATAGCACAGAGTATTGCTGCATTCAAAGATGGCTGCCCATGTGATGGTAGCCTTAGTCCCTCTGTATAGTCCCACAAATACTTGTTCATCCTGCCAGTGAAGTCCACCAAATGCAGCTTCCTGTGATGGTGTGGCAATGATGCTGTACGGCTTCTGAATTCAGAGCACAGTTGCAACTCGCATGTAGGCTATACCTAGTTGTACTACAATGGGAGGAAATGTTGCAGTGGTGTAGTTATCAGCATTGTCACAGCTGATTCCCAATTCTCTGTAGCTTGTCAATCAGCATCTGACCACACCCAGTCCTACCCACTGCTTTCTGGATTGATAGCACCACCTTTGCTGCTGAAACCTTCCCATTGTGAGCTGCAATGTCTGAGAGGGGAAGCATGTGAAACACAAATTAATTAAGATTTAGCTCAGTCGGGGAGGGTAAAGAAAGCTTCATTTTAGTAAGCTTGTGCATCACATAGTAACTGGATTTGGTATTTGCTTGGACTGGAATCATACAGAAAGGTTTCTTTATTAAAAAAGAATGGTAGTGGTACAAGGTACAAAGACATTTGAAAAAAAAACTGAAACAAGGACAGGTGATGCAACTAGAATCACATACAGGTGGACTAACACAATACAGCATAAGCACAGAGGGTAAACGTATATAAAGGTACAGTAGTATTCCCATGCAACCCAGAATGCAAGCTAGGAGGGATCGCAGTCGCACCCAAACTTATACCAGGATGAGTATCTCCAAGAGAGGCACATTCATTGGCCCACCAACGGCTTCCATACCCAATCAAATTTTTCCCAGGAGTCTATGGAGAGGGGGGAGGATACATTCCAAAGAAGTATCATTTCTTTTTTGGAATAGTATAACAAGTAAGAGATCAAGAGCTTAGTATCCCGGGGCCTTTGCTCATCATCAAGGATAAGAAGTGCCAAGGCTGGCAAGGTCAGCTGTAGGCGGTGATTTACAAGCTCAAACATCACCGCCCAAAACCTGGATATCACCGGACAATCCCAGAACATATGGTAGTAGGTGCCCTTGGACCTGTGACATCGAGGACAGTCTGGGGATCTCAGGGGATATAGCCTATTCAACATTTGTGGCCTATAATACACTCTGTTGAGGAATTTTGTTTGGATAAAGTTATCCCTAGAGAAGATCACCAATCTCAAGTTATCCTCAAAACAGTTCTCCCTATCTAGAGAAGGGATATCCACTTTCCAGGCCTTCCAGAGGGCCTCCGTTTTGGGGAAGTCCACACAGAATAAAGCAGAATAGAGGGAGGGAAGTGGTTTGGAGAGGGAGTCCTGGGTCAAGAGATCCTCAATAGGGTCAGTAGTCAACTGAGGGAGCGCTGGGAATTGGGCTCTAACTGCATGACGTAGCTAGGGCCGTTAAGAAAAACATAGGTGAACTTGGGTAATAGAATCATCTTAAAAATATTGATACAGCCCAGGAGGTTCAGCGGTAGCATACTACATTAGGCACACCTATCCCTCACCTGTGTCAGTAGAGGATGAAGGTTAAGCTCAAAAAAGTCCTGGGGATCCTGCTTCACTTGAATCCCCAAAGGGGAACAGTATCAACTTTGGACGTTACTTCAGGTGTGCGTATAAAGTGGACAAACACATCAAAAATGGCCAGGGATGC